ACACTACAGCAATGTTATATTTTGTTTGTTTTGAAGACAGGGTCTCATGACCCAAAGTGGTCTCAAACTTTCTATGTGTCAAGAGATGACCTTGAACTTTGGATTCTTTTGCTTGTACTTCCCAAGTGCTGGGATTACAGGAGTGCACTACCACACCCGGCTCCAATCTAGCCTTTTAAGGTTATGATGCATATCTTAGTTTTGAACTGTTATATGAACAGCAATTTTCCCCCTCAACCTCCAGAAGAAAGTTTTGGTTCCCATAATTCAAAGTTCTGGGGAAGTGGTTAGTACAGTCCCGCAGTAGCCTCCAATTGTCACTAGCAGTATGTGCGCCCTTCTCTTCCTCTCTCTGCAAATGAAGGAATTGTCAGTGTTCTAGACAAGCCCCGTCCAATAGGTGTAGTTAGAGGGTGTTCGTGCACCTTAACATTTTCTAGTGGTTACATTAGCAAAGTAAAAATTAAGCCAGAGAAATTCATCCTACTAAGCCAGGCAGTGGTGGCGCATGCCTTTTTAATCCTAGCACTCAGGAGGCAGAGGCAGGTAGATCTCTGTGAGTTAGCGACCAGCCTGGTCTACAAAGAGCTAGTTCCAGGACATCCTCCAAAGCCACAGAGAAACCCTGTCTCAAACACCCCCCCCCAAAAAAAAGAAATTCATCCTACTGTTTTAACCCAGCATATCCAAGATGGTATCACATCAGCATGGGATCGATCTGCCTGAAATCACTAAGACAGGGCCTGCCCAGCCTGTGAAACCCTGTGAAACCCTTACTTCTACCTCCAAGTGCTGTGCTTGTGTGTTTTTAGACACAGTGGTTGTGCAGACTCTCTGAATCTCTACATTCTTTTCCTTAGTCTGAACAAAGGAAATATGATGAGTTCTGTTATAAGAGGACCCACCTAGATTTTGGAGTTCTGCACATCTTACTTAGATACAGGTTTTTACTATTTATTGCAGGGTTTGGGGAGGGCATGCTATGCCATCATGTGAACTTTTCTTCCTCTACCAGGCATAACCTTTGGCTCTCTAGACATTTCCACCATTCCAAAGATACATCTGTGCCAGTCAAATCACCTGTACATTCTGGGAGGGAAAGCCATCTGGGAATATGCTATGTTTTTACAAAGTATCTGTGTGTTTGACTTTTTTCCAGGGATTTGGCCTCGGGGATCTGCTGGCTGCCCAGGGAGGGATAGCTTTTCAGGGTGGGGCTGAGGGTTTTTCTGCCAGTTTGAGAATGTTCTCTGTGCTGACTTACTTGTTGCCATGGAGACTGGCAGTACAAACTCAAGTTCCCACTTGGCTTCTGCTGTTCTATTGCTTAGGGCCTGTCAGCAAACAGTGCCAGGCAGCCTGGGCTGGCCTGTGTGAGGAGGCCACACCCACAGAGATTAGCCAGGCTGCCCCAGCGTGCTGTGCATTGACTCAGCAGCAGCAGGGATATTGCTCCAGGCTGGGAGCCAGATGGTTGTTCTATGCTGCTTCCAGCCTGCCCTACTTCAATCATCTGAACTCAGTGAGGGCAGAAGAGCTGGGCGGGAGAAGAGGCGAAAGCCTATGCCCTAAGGAGGCACATGAAAGGATCTTTTTAGAAGTCCATTCTGAGATGTCAGAGTGAAATGATTTGTCCAGACAAAAGGTAATTCCCTCTACAGATAACCAATGACTTCACATGGTAAGAACTTAGCAGAGACCAGCAACTAGCCCAGGACCCACAAACAGGCACCCAGTGATCCAGGGCCTCTTTCTTCAGAGTGGTTTGTTCAAGCTCACTTAGCAGGCCTGAAATGGTCAGGTCATTTTCATCCAGACTTGGAATCTTAACTTTTTTGTTACTCTGGAAGCCTTTGGACCTGTGGGAACAAGATTGTCGGTAGAATGACAGATTCTGTCTTTGCTAAGATGGAAGCAAATTTTTCTTCCTAATTCTAAAAAAGAGACAACGCCTTTCCTACAAAAAGAGTTAACCACTCTCAGTGCCAGAGTATTGTTGCCTTTCCTGAGCTCCTCCTTTAAGAAGGCCTGTTTGTGCTGTTAGATATGTTTATGCTCATACATAGCACTAGTCCAAGATTGCATCTCATTTAATCTTCACACCGAGCTTAGGAGAGCAGTGGACACCTGGGGCTCAGAGATTCTGAGGTCACTGATCCTTGTCATCCACTGGAGTTCCTACAGAACAGTGGCCTGGTTCCTGGATGGGCAGGAATGAGAGAGATTGCCAGGCCCTCAGATGTGCATATGCACACACACACACACATGCATGCACACACATGCCCATTCAAAAAGGAAGCCCAGGAGGAAACGGCACCAATCACTAAAGCGTAGCACAGGAGCCAAGCCTCTCGCTACATCACTGCCCTGTCCTGTGCAGCTCTGAATGAGTATAGAGGTGATGTGGGAAGGCAGATATTAGGTCAGGTCTGAGACATGTGCTCAGATATGTGTTATCCCATATCTGCTGTGTTTAGCTTTGCGTTCAGCTCCATCTTCAAGGCTCTTGTGTAAGTTAGTCACTTATGTCCTTTTGTCAGACTACAGGCTCCATATTTGTCTTGATCAGTGCCATAGCATGAACAGTGTAGCAATGCCCAGCATGCATGGGACTCTCCATAAATGTTTGTTGATGGAATGTGTGAACAGTGTGTTTGACACTACTACATGAGCAGCATTTAACATTTACAGTCACCTTTCGGCTATCCTGTCAGCCCACTAGTGACAGATCACTTGGGTAGAACCTGTTCACCTCGGCTCTCTGGAACAGTTCTCAGACAACTTGGTTTCGGCTACAAAAGGCTCAGGACCATTAAAACACAAGTGTCCTCACAAATCTGGTGGCCTTTCGAAGAGATGCAGAACTGAAGATTGGGCTCATAGGAAGACAAGAGCACTGACAGTAAACGATATTCTGGAGACAGAATGAGGCTTGTTAGAGATCCAGCCCTCAGTCACTAGGGAGTGGGCCTTGGGCAAACTGCTTGCTGCCTCCCAGCATCAGAATCCCCATGCTTGAAGTGCCCATAGTTTAGCAGTTCTGCTTTAGTGAAGGTGATTACAGGGATCATATTTACCCTCTTACCAGACACAACTAAAAACTTGTGGACAACCCAGGTGGCGATAGTTTTCAGATATCAGATGTTCTTGACACAGTTTTGTGGTCCTGAGAGAGGGAGAGAAATTATATGAGCCAGCTGAGTACCCTAGTCAGTGCAGTGACAGGGTCCCAGAAAGATTCTGGTCATCCCTCCAAGTTGGAGTGATACAGGAAGAATCCTACAGATGCCCAGGAAGGTCAAGAGGGAAAGAAAGACCTGAGAAAGGGAGAAAGGAGGGGAACAGTGACTGACCTGGATGGTGTTGTGATAGGTGGGAATGGTGGACCAGGCTGTGGAGTTCCAGTCTGTAGATTAAAGAAGATAGAGGAGTGTGTAGGCAGTTGAGGCAAGGACATTATAAACAGGATCCAAACTGGGCTGCTGGAGAATGAAAATGACAATGTCTGTGATACAATGACTATAATTATCTCTGCAGGAACCTGTGTTTCCAGGGTCCTTTCCCCGTTTGCATTAGTGTGTGTGTTCATGTAAAACCACCACCACATCCTCTCACCCCAAAACACACACACACACACACACACACACACACACACACACACACACACACACAGTGTAAAGTTAGCAACAGTGTCAGAATGTTGGTCCCTAGGCGAGGCTCTGATTTGCTATGTTGTGCATTGGAAGGAGGTGACAGAAAACTTAGTAATACAGCAAGAAGGAAAACTACCAAGTTCTTGCATAAGAGACTGCAAAGAGGCCAGCTGCCTGATCCTGGGTTTAGCTGGGCTTTCATTTTGCCACTCACTAGTTGGGTAACTCTTGAGAAGTTATAATGGTAGCTACAGTACTTCCTTAATAAAGGGTAGCTAGGGCACATTTGATAGAATTAGAGAAGCGTTACTTCAACTTCCTGACGAACAATATAATTGTTGTTTTGTGGGTTACAGAAATCCAGGGACTGGGCTACAGCTATTACATGTGTAGCTGCGTTTAATCTCTGTAACAATTCAGTCAGACAGTCATATCCTCAACTGACAGTTAAGGGAAATATGGCTCCAGGGGTTCAGCAAAACACAGCGGGTCACCCGGCTCCCTTAGTGGAAGAAGAGAATGGAGTAATTGGGGAATGCTAGAATCCTCTCACACAGAGGCCAGAACTGCTCTCTGCTCTCCCTCTGTGTGTGTGTGTGTGTGTGTGTGTGTGTGTGTACACACACACACACAGGCTCTAGGGTGGAAAAGGAGAGTGAGAGGACAGCCCGGTAAGCACAAATATAAGTATGCACACGTGGTTTGGGGAGATTTGAAATAGAAAATGAAAATGACAAATTTAAGTTGTGAAATATACTAACTTCCTGAGCAAAAGTGCTTTTCAATTGGAGAACACGGAAAAACTGCTTTGGAATGAAAAGAATTCTGGGGCCTTAAGTGTGGTCCTACTTGTGAGAAGTGTTGCTTCCATGGTCTGTCAAAGACCTTGCCTTCTAGCCTTTAATCCTGTTTTTTTTTCTCATGACTTTGGCTCCCTCCTGAGAATGAAGCAGCTGCCCTGTCCTCTGCTGAGAGAGCGTGGTGAGAGGTCAGCAGCTGAGGGCTACAGTTTTCCTTAAAAGAGAAAAGCTCTTAGGAAAAGTTTTCTTACAAGAAAAAAGCTGGGAGCAGCTCCATCAGCCGTGTGAAAACCCAAGCAGATTCAGGGGGGCACTGTGGAGAGGAATCCCTAGTTTTGATTAAAAACAACAAACAAACAAACAAACAAAAAGCCTGTGTTTTCAGCAGAGCAACACCTGTATGAGAAGACAGGGCAGGGCAGTTACTGATGAGTATCTTTAGACGTTGGATAGGTCTCAGAAACATAGACAAATGTCTGTATTTCTTTCTTTCTTTCTTTCTTTCTTTCTTTCTTTCTTTCTTTCTTTCTTTCTTTTTGTTTTGTTTTTTGGGACAGGGTTTCTCTGTGGCTTTGGAGGCTGTCCTGAAACTCACTCTTGTAGACCAGGCTGGTCTTGAACTCACAGAGATCCGCCTGCCTCTGCCTCTTGAATGCTGGGATTAAAGGCATGCGCCACCACCGCCTGGCATGTCTGTATTTCTACAGTGTCTAGATTTATGGACTAACAGTAAAGTCATAAGTTACGGTGGCTTTGTTGGCAGCAATTTGCCAGATAATCCCGCTTTCCTTGACAGCTAGAACTGAGACAATCACGGGTTCTTTTATTCCAACCTTAATTATTAATATGAGCTCTCGGATGGTATGTTACACATCACACAATAAATGTCTATTTTTGTAAGTAAGTATGTGTGTATGTATTCACGCACGCATGTTACATCATTACAGATTGGCTACAAAGGGCTCAAGAGGCAAGGCATTTCAAAGAAATCCTAGAAGCCAAAGCTGGGAAATGGGTAAAATGTGAAGGAGTCCAGCTGGGCGTGAGACAGAGCCAGCAGCAGAAGAGGTTGGAGAGCTGCTGGCTGCTGCAGGATCTAAGCGGAGCTGCAGCAGTGAGGTGAGGAGGGCAGATGGCCCTCTGAGCAGATGAGTGGACAGAGGTCCAGATGGGTGAGCAGACAGGCAGATGACAATTCCAGCAAGCAGCATCCATAGTGAGGACCCAATGAAACTGAAGGCCTTGGGACAGTTGGGAGTTCTCTGCCTGCCTGTCCCCTGACCATGCAGCAGGTAGTCAGATGGTGATGGGTTACTGTCACAGTGTTAGAAGCCCATCTTTTGAATGGGGTACAGGAGAGGGGGTTAGATCCTTCCTTGGTTGTGTCTGATAAGTTCTTGGCCCTGGTTTTCCTACTATGATTTTAATATGCCCATGTGGCCCTATATTCTCAATGGAGGTGAGAAATTTATAGTGCAGCACCCTTTACTCCCAGAAATAGGTCATTTTTTGGTCTGTGCTGTGAAGGTGTCAGATGGACGGTGCCATTCACATGTCCACCTCATGCAGAGTCATCATGCTTCCTCAAAATGGATTCAAAAAGCTGCCTGTAGATGGAATCTCTCAAGGCAAGATGCAGCCTAAAGAAACCACTATTTTACATTATATAGGGGTAACTTGTGGCAGTGCACAGTTACTCACTCTTGTAGAGTAATAAGAGACTGAACTACGGGACCCGAGGGAGGCCAATGTCATTCCCAAAAGTCCTAGGGCCCCCATTGTGGTCTTGTGAGTTGGTCAGCATGGAGCACAGACCTGGAGAAAGATGCAATGAAAGGCGAAAGAGAATAGCACCAGCAGTGACGATCCCATTGCTCTTCAGAGGGTGAGCTCTTAGTAGAGGAAGTTTTATAAATTAGAGTTTCCAGAGTCACTGGGCTGTCTTCAATGACAATGTCAGTTCACTCGCTCATCCCACAGACACTCACTAATGCCTAACTCATGTCAGCAACAGTTTGAGGCACTGGGAACGCCCCACACCTTTTATAGAGGTCATGACTGATCAGAGAGAGGGTCAGGATGTAGTTCAGTGGAAAGGTGTACAGGCCTGGGTTTGATTCTCAGCCCTGCAAAACAAAGCAAAAGAAAACAATAACTTCTCCCACACACACTCATTTGGATGGAGGGAACAGATAACCAACAATAAATAGATATATAGTAGCAGCAGATGATGAGATGCAGGAAGGTCTTAGTAGTGGTCGGGGGTTGGTATAGATGCCACATTTAGGGCTGAGCACTTATAGAACTTATTCTCAGCACTTTTATCTGCACTGACTGCTGCCTACTGCAGAGAAATGCTGGCCAAGGCCGAGGGCAGCACTAACCTATGGGTATAAGCATAAACATTTAGGAGGCAGTTTGACAACATGTTGTTTAACAAAACAACTGTAGTGGGTTCCTGTCTAGACCTGGGAGGTCACAGCCTTCATTTGATGGACAGTTTCCTTTGATATACAAAAGCTTTATAACTTCGTGAGATCCTATTTGTTGGTTATCCATCTTATTTCCTGAGTGATCAAAGCCCTGTCCAAAAAGTCCTTACCTATGCCTATATTTATTTATAAGTATGCTCCCTAAGTTTTTCTCTAGTAGTTTCTTTTTCTGTATTTATTCATGTGTGTATGTGTTTGTGTGGGTGCTTGCATGCATGTATATGCAGAGGCCCGAAAAGGGCTTCATTGCCTTTCCGTATCATTCTCTGCCCATTTCTTTGAGGCAGGGTCTCTCCCTAAATCTGGGGATTTTGTTTTCTTGGCTAAGCTGGAAGCCAGCAGCCCCAGCATTCTCCTATCACATGGGTTCTGAGACTTGAACTCTGGTCCTAATGATAACAAAGCAAATACTATTAACATTAACCTCTGACCCTTTTCTCCAGTCCCTTGTTTGTTTGAGACAGTCTTGCTATGTAGCCTGGGCTGACTTCAAACTCATGGCTATCTTTCTGTCTCAGATACTGGAGTGCTAGGATTATAAGCAGGGGCTACTATACCCAGCATTTTCTAAGAGATCTTATATGTTCCTTCATGCCCACCTGTTCTGCCCCATGTCTTTTAGGATTTGGGTGGGACATGGGTCTGGGTCAGAGGTTCCTCTAAGTATCCACCTGTGCTTTTCTTAGCTTCCTTTTCGAGAGCGGTATCTGAAATAGATAAATAAATCTGATTTTAAGTACTTGACATGTTTTGTTTTGTTTTGTTTTGTTTTGTTTTGAGACAGGGTCTCTTTGTGTAGCCTTTGCTGTCCTGTCCTAGAACTCACTCTGTAGACCAGGCTGGCCTGAAACTCAGACATCCACCTGCCTGTGCCTTCTGAGTGCTGGGATTAAAGGTGTGCACCACCACTGCCTGACTTTGATGTTATTCTTTTATCTCGAACCATTAGATAAGATCTTTCATCCCCATTTATAGATATAGAATCTGGAGCTCTGGGAAGTTAGTCTATATATACGCAGTAGTACAAAGTTGAGTCCAAATTAGTTAAGTTTCTGTCTTCATAATCACTATACTGTGCTGTCCCCTTACCTTCCATATCCACATATGAATGGATGAAGGGATGTGTTTATGAATTATTAAAAACTGATCTAATAATGTCTAGGGACTCAGACATTGAGAATTTGGGAACTCCACTGACTTACTGCAGAAGGCAAGCATAGATTGAAACCCTTAAGACTGAGACTGTAATTGGTCAGATAGAAAGAGAAAGGTATCAGGGTACAGTCATTAATCACAATTATATTTATTTAGTGTGTGTGTGTGTGTGTGTGTGTGTGTGTGTGTGTGTGTGTGTGTGTGTGTACGTGTGTGTGTGTACACGTACCATAGCGCATATTGATGAAGTCAGACTAGTGCTTTTCTACCATATGGGTGGATACCAAGGATCAAATTCAGGCATCATATTTGAAGGTAGCAGCCTTTACCTGGTGAGCCATCTCACCTGCCTGGTTATAGTCATTTATAAGAAATAACATTGAGGGTGTGGTGTTTGTAGAGAGTGCAGAAAAGACCTGCTTACATCAGGTTTGGAAACATTGTGGAGGATCACTATGTCTGCGTTTGTTTTGTGTTGTTTAAGTCCACACTGTCTTTGAATGGCCAAGAAGAAAGCCTCAGGACTGTCTAAGAATCCTGGTCTGGAGCAAGAAGGGAAGACCATGGGAAGGGTGCCTAGATACTGATGGAGTTCTGTTGACTACAGTTTATTCTGGGAAATAGTTGGATTTCTATACACATATCTCAGCTGAGTGGCTTTTAAACACTTCCTGATTCTGCTTTGCCAGTCGCCTCCTCCAGGCCCCAGGAGAGTTCCTGGCATAAGACCATGGGTGTAAGAATCACTTCGGGGTTCTGGAGAGGTTAATGGTTAAGAGCGCTTGCTTTTGTAGAGGACTGGGGTTCAGTTCCCAACATCCACATAGCGGGTCACAGCCATCTGCAACTCCAGCTCTAGAGGACCAAGTGCCCTCTTCTGGTCCCCATGGTCAATAAGAATGCATGCAGTGTACTAACATGCATGTAGCAAAAACACTCAAACACATAAAATAAAAATAAAAGAAAAGGAAAAGAACTACCTTAAGAAATAATCCAACTCCAGGCTCTGAGAATCTGCAGGGACCTGCTGCTGCTGCTAATGATGATAATGATGATGGTGATGATGATGGTGATGCATCTGGGAGCTTTGAGAGTACACTTTGAGGGACAGTTGGGGCGAGAATCAGAGACCAGTGCGGGTGGGCCCTTCTGGCACAAGTGAATCTGAGAACTGAGGGAGTGTCCTTTGAGCAGCTTTTACCTTAAAAAGGGACTCTGCTGTCGTGCCCATGTCCAAGAGGAAACTGTTCTGTGCCACTTGTTGAGGAAGAATACCCAGGGCCGTCACCACAGGTACAGGATGGATGGACTGCAGTAGAGGACAGAGGGAGTTCAAGTCCCTACACAGCACAGTCAAGTGGTAGGGAGGAGTCAGTGGACGGAAAATTTCTAAGCGGAAACATGAGGGATAGGGGAATTCTGGCAAACCTAAGAGGATTATCACGGAAGGCAGGCCAGGGTGATCCCCATGTCACAGTCACGTGGGAGAGAAAGAGCCTGATAGTTACTAAAGGCAGTCAATCTGATATCCAGAGAGGTGGACCTGTTAATCTCAGTGGGGTCCCTTGCAGATCTGAACCTGAGGAGGAAGCCCACACTCTGCCTAGGAGAAGGCTGTACAAGGAACATTTTTCTGCTTCCCTGCTTCTCCTGTCAGTCTGGTTTCTCTTAAGGGGGGTGAAGGGGTTGATTGTTCCCTCCCTTATTTTCAGTACCCAGGAGGAACTTGGTGGACACAGGCCCAGAGGAGGGAGCAGTGTGGGGAAGTAATACAAAGCCGTGCAGGCCCAGCCAAAATGACAAACTCAGGCAGCCAGAGCCCAGGCCTTCAAAAACTGGGATAGCGTGGTCTCTTCAGATCTTCCACAGGAGATTTGGGAACAGCTTGGAAACTCTTTTTTTGTCCCCGGCCCAGTTGCAGGCTACGATTCTTCCCTGAGGATGGCAGTCCTCTGGCTGTTTACAGTCCCCAGAGGCAGCGGCAGTGAGTACATGTGAAGGAATTTCCAGCAATCCCCATGGGCTGTGTCTGGGCTACACAGAGAAGGGACCGGGTGTGCTGTGTATGTGAGCTCCCCCCACGCCCCCTGCTGAGGCCCTCAGCCAGCAGAGTTCTTACTCACCACAGAGGCATGTGGCTATAAATGTGGGCCCAGCCTGTGGGGAGAACATTTCCATTCCTCTTTTTTAAACCAATTGCATGTTCCAGAGGAACACAGGTTCTTAACTGACACCACGGTAACTAAGCTGACTAGTAACTGGGTTGGCTTTCAACTCCCCCTGCCCCCAGGTATAACATCTAGTTGTTAGGTCATTCCCATGGCTTAGAATTAGGACCACGCCATGCATAGAGGCCTGGCTCTGAGCTCTACCACAGTCAGACTGAAGGGGTGGCGACTGAGTTTGCTTCATTGTCAGATGCACCTGGAGCTTGTGAGTTCCCCAAAGAGCTGCAGAGCCAAGGCCCTGGCATCTCTTTCATTGTAGTTTCCTTTTGGGGCTGTGGCCCATCTGTTAGAGCCTTGGGGACAGTCAGGCAAGGCGTCCACATTGGCACGGCATATCATCTTGGCTTAGTTACAGCATCACATTCGTAATAGGGAGGAAAAGAGGTCCTTGGCTCAGTGTCTCCTCTTTTAAAGGAAATAAGCTTATGGTCAGAGTGAACTGTTCCTGTCCCTTGTGTAGGAGGCCAAGCTATCATTCCCCATGTTCTCACAGTTTTCTGTATCCAGGCAACTGCCCAGAAAACAGGCCTGGCTGGCTGTCCCGTGAGGTGCTGCAGGACTGGCTGCAGGCAGTCTTCCTTCAGTTTGATCTAAGGTGCTGGGGGCTGCATCTGTTTACATCTTTCCTCAAACTCAGTCTCACTGTGAAAATATGTTTGAGATTATCGTTCCAGGCCTTTACCATAACCCACTTGTTACACATAGTTTCACACACACGTTCTCTTTTACATGCCCCTCCCACAATAAAATAATCAGAATTGTATGACAAGAAAGTAAATCTTAGGAAATGGAACTCAAGCTTTTTAAAAGAAGGGATTGAGGTCAGCGTCTATAATTGGCTACTCTGCTTTTCTCCATTCCTGCCCGGTCATCTGATACTGCCCTCTCCTGGAGAAGGAAACCCAGCAGGCTGAGTCAGAACAGGTTATGAACCACTGAGCAGCATAAAAAGATTAACAGGTGGGCTTCGTGTGTACTCCAGCCTCTTCTTTCCAGTTAGCCACAAGTGCACTGTCTGCTACGGTATTGTGTACCTTCAGTGTCTCTTATGGTTCTGTTCTGACTTCATCTTTGCCCCTACACTATGTGTGGATTGCTTTTGACCTGTGAAATTACAGAGCAATAATTCCAAAGGCAGAAACCCTGCCTTTCATTATGAGGTTTCCAAAGAAATTCTAGGAGATTTTAAACACACACACATAACATCAAAATGTAGGAAAGTAGTAAAAGTTTAGACAGACCTGTATAGGACACATCATGTGTGTAAGCCTGGCCTGTGAAGTCATTCACTTCTGTCCATCTGTTTGCCAATAATACAGTGCTTAAAAAGAAAATGGAAGGACTAAGGCAAGGCCCCAGAGAGAGCTGGAACACAACACTTGGGGCTACAATAGCAATTGTTCTCTACCTAGGTGAGAACAATGCTGTCCTCCAGGACACCAGGTAATGTATCTGGTGATCACAGCTCAAGGGACTGTCCTGGGCATCGAGTGGGAGGCGGTCAGAGGCTCTGCTGCATGTCTGATGAAGTGCATGGCAGCCCCCCACAACACGAATGTTGTCAAGTTCAAATGTCATTAGTGTTAAGGTCTAGGATGCTGGCCCAACCCCGAATCAGGCCTTTTACCTGTGGTCTTTTTCCTCATGGCCTGGGCATGGCACCCTGTCCTGTCCTCAGATTTATTTACTGCTGATAAGAGGTTCAGGTTATTCTGGCCCTACCTGGCTTTACCAAAAACAAACCAGTACATGCTCAAGTGTGTGATGTAATTTTCTTAATCATAGAACTGCACCATGAATCATGGACTGTGAAGGATAACGTTTGTTTCCCCATCTTGCCTGGCAAACAGCATGTTTAGACAAAGCCAGACAGATTTTCCTTAAAAGAAGGGAGAGAACTCATTTTACTTTTTGTGTGTGTGAGTGCCTGTGGTGTGTGTGTGTGTGTGTGTGTGTGTGTGTGTGTGTGTGTGTCTGTGTCTGTGTGTGTGTCTGTATGTGGTGTGAGTGCCTGTTGTGTGTGTGTGTGTGTGTGTGTGTGTGTGTGTGTCTGTGTGTGGTGTGAGTGCCTGTAGTGTGTGTGTGTGTGTGTGTGTGTAGTATGAGTGCCTGTGGGGGTGGGTTTATGGTGTGAGTGCCTGTGTGGGATATGTGTGTGTATATGAGTGTGTGTTGTGTGAGTGCTTATGGTGTGTGTGTATGGTGTGAGTGTGTGTGAGTGTATGGTATGAATGTCTGTGATCTGTATATATATAGTATGAGTGCCTGTAGTGTGTGTGTGTGTGTGTGTGTGTGTGTGTGTGTGTGTGTGTGTGGTGTTATTACCTGTAGGGTGTTATTGCCTGTATTTATAGTGTGTGTGCCTGTTGGGTGTGTGTTTCAGTAGATGGTGTGAGTGGTTGTGGTGTGTGCGTGTGTGTGTGTGTGTGTGTGTGTGTGTGTGTGTGCCTGTTATGTGTGTCTCTGTGTGTGTGTGTGTGTCTCTCTCTCTGTGTGTGTGTGTGTGAGTGCCTATGATGTGAGTGCCAGTGATGTGTGTGGAGTTATTACCTGTGATATGTGTAGAGGTGTGTGTGTGTGTGTGTGTGTGTGTGTGTGTGTGTGTGAGTGCCTGTGATGTGTGGGGGGTGCACATGCCAATGAGCATAGTGAAAGTCAGGACAACCTTTGAGAGTCAGTTCTCACTTTTCATCTCATTGAGGGAAGGTCTCGTTTTTTTTTGTTGCATCTCCATGTACCTCAGGCTAGCTGACCCCCAAGCTTCTGTGCATGTACCTCAGGCTAGCTGACCCCCAAGCTTCTGTCCATGTACCTCAGGCTAGCTGACCCCCAAGCTTCTGTGCATGTACCTCAGGCTAGCTGACCCCCAAGCTTCTGTGCATGTACCTCAGGCTAGCTGACCCCCAAGCTTCTGTCCATGCCTCCCACCACCAGGCAGAAGTGCTGGAATTACAGGTGTGGGCTACAGCATCTGCCTTTTAACATGTGTCTTGAGGATCAAATTCAGGTTACCAGGCTTGCACAACCGGCAAGCACTCTTAAACATTGAGTCAGTTCCCCAACCCTCCGAGGTAACTTTTAAGCATGCTATTATTAATATATTGATCTTCTTAAATTTTTAAGGTTGTAATTTTAGTTTTTGTGTATGTGTGAGTGATCATGTGTACAGATGGACACATGAGAGGAGGTCAAAAGTTAACCTTGGGTGTCACTCCCCAGGAGCCAGCTACATTGTTTTTGAGATAAATTCTCTCTCTCACTAACACCTAGGCTACCTGATTAGTCTAGGCTGTACGGGCAGCAAGCCCCAGGGGCCGACAGCCGCCCCCCCCATCTCCACCTTCCCAAGAGTGGGATTTCAACTGTGTACCTTGACACAAAACTTTTCACATGAGTGCAGAGACTAAACTCAGGTCCTTGTGTATTTGCAGCAAACATTTTACTGACTGCAAACCCCTATTTTCCCATTTCATTATTCTTTAAATATCAATTAACCCATCCCATGACTGATTGCCATATTTAAAAATCAGGAATCAAAACTTTCCTTAGGTGTCTGTGGGTGCTGAGGGAATTCGGTGGAAACACTAGGGCCCTCATCTCGTGCTGTGGGTTAACTGTTTTGTATGGTGGAGTTGGAGTGAGGTGTGTATCTCTGTCTTCATCATGTTAGAGAAATCAAACCCAAGTAAGGAGAAAATAATGCTCCAGGTATACTAATTGTTTTAATACACTAAGGTTCATTAAGATACCATATAAAGTTCTCATCAGTTCTCAGCATTGTATGGTAGACCTGACTGCTGTGTGGACCTTCAAGAAGTGAACGGCTCACTCATCCTTCTGGAGGCAAATGTGTTTCTGTTGCTAGCTAGAGGCTGTCATGTGCTTTATCAGAAGAGATGAGAGCCTTCGGTGGTCCTCATATGCTGAGAGTTATGTGTGTATACAGATCTGTATCAGAACATACACTCTTCCAAGAAACCGTAGGCAAATACTCGGGTTACTAGGCAGACTGTGTGAAACTGCCCATGATGCTCTGGTCTCGGGCAATAGAATCAACTATTTCCAGAGTGAAACAGCTCAGTCCCCGAAGTCACTGAGGTATGTGGAGAGCCACAGATCATACAGTCTGAGGTCTGAGAACATGGATACACATGTGTCACTCCAAAAATGATGTGTCTACACCAACACCAAGGCTTCAGAAAGGATATATCCACACTGACTTCAGCCTTCACTTCCTATTTTTTTCTGGTGGTGCAAGAGATTGAGCCAAAGCCTTGAGTATGGCAGGCAAGAGCTGTATTCCAAATCTACTTCCTGTTTTTGTTTTTGTTTTTTTAAGAAACTAGTACATTTTTATAATTTTTGACTTATACCTAAGAATACACTTTACCTAGGGTAACATGAAAATAATCAACCAGTCTCTCCACCATGTGCTGTTGTTGGGATGTTTTTGGAGACATGGTCTTACTATATAGTCCAGACTAGCCTTGGACGCTTAATTCCCCTGTCTCTGTCCCCTGGGTCATCAGATTATAAGTGTGTACTTCCATGCTTGGCTTACCCTGATATGCATATACATATACATATACACATTCATACATATACATAATCGTACATACATATGTACATACATACATGTGCATACACACACAGTGGTACAAGCCAGTAATGT